CCTCGAGCTCCAGCCAGGCAGCAGGGTCGGGGGCTGGCCCCTTTCCAGCACTCCAGCCAGGGAGCATGGTTGGGGGCTTGCCCCACTCAGCGCAGCTCCTGGAAGCAGCGGCATGTCCCCCCTCCGGCTCCTATGCATAGGGGCAGGCAGGGAGCTGCCAAGTGCCGGCTCCGCAGCTCCCATTTGCTGGGAACCGTGGCCAATGGGAACTGCAGGGGTGGTGCCTGCGGATAGGAGTAGCATGTGGAGCCCCCTGGCTGCCCCTCCGCGTAGGAGCTGGAGGGGGGACATGCCACTGCTTCCAGGAGCTGCTTGAGGTAAGCACCGCCCGGAGCCTGCACCCATGATCTCCTCCCATGCCCCAACCTCCTGCCCGAGCCCGGAGCCCCCTCTCACACCCTGAATCCCTTATTTCTGGCACCACTATGGAACCCGCACACCCAGCCCAGAGGCCATACCCCTTCTCACACCCCAATCTCCTACCTCACCCCAGAGCCCGCTCCCATACTCCAAACCCCTCTGCTCCACCCCCAGCCTGAAGCCTTCTTCCGCACCCTGAACTCCTCATTTCTGGCCCCATCCCAGAGCCCTTACCCCCTGCTGGAGCCCTTACCCCCTCCTGCACCCCAATCCCCAATTTCGTGAGCATTCATGGCCCAACATACAATTTCCATACCCAGATGTGGCCCTCAGGCCAAAAAGTTTGTCCACCACTGGGTTAAACTCTGAAGCATTAGGATTTTATCCATTCCAATTTTTTTTTCTTTTTTGCATTATCTATAACAACTCTATATATTATTGTTATCCATATAAACACCCATTTTTTCTTTGACTCTTACTAAATTCTTGACATCAGTATCTTGTGGAATAAGTTCTACAGTCTAATTACGCACTAAGTGAAAAAGTATTTCCTTTTATCAGTTTTCAATTAGATACATTTCAATGTAAAAGACTGTCCCTTGGTTCTTGTGGTGTGTGTGTGTATGTGTGAGAGAGAGAAGGAATAGAAGCTCCTGATCTCCCTTCTTTATATACTTGTATCATGTCCCCTCGTATCTGTCTTCTTTCTAAGGTAAACAATCCCAGTATTTTCAGTCTGTCTTCATATAAGAGATTTTCCAGTGATCATTCTCATCACCCTTCTCTGAACCCCCTCTAACTCTGCAATACATTTTATGATATGGGGTGACCATCAGTTCACACAGAAACATAGCGACTCATATAATGACACTACAGTGTTTTTATAAACCTAAAGTTCAGATTGCTTATTTTTCACATAACTTGAGGACCTTGCATGAGGAGGCACAAGGCATATATCGAAGCTGTGGCAATTAAGGATTGTAATGCTTTTGGGGCATATAAATGCCATGCCATGCTACAGACTTAATTATATCGTGGAACTTATTGCAAACCAGCTGTATGACCCATTCTCTCTCTCTCTCAGTTCTGAACTGTAGGTCATTACCAGTACTTTTAGGGCTACACAGGACATATGCTTCTCTACTTAGTTACTGAAGTCTTAATTAACATTTTCTGGAAATACTGCAAATACAATCTCAATTGATCACTACTGGCATTGATTTCACAGCTAGTCTAAAATCTGCTGCTCTGTAACAGTGTTACAGGTTTAATTAACATCTTTGTTACCACTAAAAATCATCTGTACAACTCATTATATCTCAATTATATAGCCAGTTAGAAGTGATTTTGCAGAAAGGCCTTCAAATCTAATGCACATTAATGGTGCATTACTTTACCACTGCAGCTTGACTTTAGATCAACTGTATCTTCTCTGTTATGAAAGAAAAGTTTTAATTTCCATACTACTACATTTAAATACAAGCAAAAAGGACTTTTATGTTATTTTAAGGACCTTTTAATAATAAAATATAAAGGACCAGGTTTAAACCACAGTGTATCACATGCATGTGCTGGGTGTGGGGGGAAAGGATGCAAAGTAAATAAGATGGTTATTGAGATAGCTACTGTATGGCTATATTGGGCTATAATGTTTACTGTGTGCATATATTGCCTTATTTTAATAATAGGTTGTTAACAAAATGACAACACAGTTGATCCAGATAAAACACCTCCTGTTAAACAGATCAAGCGGTTAAGGGACAACACCTGAGCTATTAGATGTAAAGCTAATTCCAGGCTCTGGCCAGTTGTTTTCCCAAGGCTGGAAGTCTAAAGATCAAAAGTACACTAACAGTTAAAGTAGTTCTCTAAAGAGAGGGCAGTTGTCAGGGGCTGTTCATGAGAAACAGGCTGATGCAGATACAGGTCCTGTGGGGAGACCTGAAGCAGTTGGGCCTTCCTACACTTCAGGGGGATGATAAGCCTTAGGAAAGATAGAAGTGAACATGGACTGTTTTATAGTTTTAAAATCTTTTTTTCTTTAATGCTGTACTGCACTCCTATTGTTAAGATTCAGCAATACTTCGTTTTAAGAGATCTGTGTGGTCAAAGGCTCAAGTCCTAATACCTGGGGGGTAATACCTCTACTCTCCCTGCTGCTCCTGCACCCCGCTTACCCCATCTTCCATAGAGCTGGGGGGACACACAGGGCTCAAGAGGGAGGGAGCTTGCAGCAGCTGCCATCTCAGCAAGTTGATCTAATGAACAAGGCAGAGTACTTAAGGGAAATGTGCATATCTCCCTCCATTCCTGCTGCCTTGTGTAGAGAGAGAGTTAACCCTTTAGGGCTGAGCCAATTGCTAGTTCATCATTTAGCAGTAAATGAAATATCCCACCCTCTGACTCCTCCACCTCAACCAAGCTTCACAATCATCATCACTGTGTACCAGTATTACATTGTTTGTTTAAAACTTATACTGTGTGTGACGTTGTGCAGTCTATATGGTTTTATAAAAACATGATAAATAAGTGAATATAATGTAACTGGAATAGTTTTATAAAAACATGATAATAAGTGAATATAATGTAACTGGAATATGCTTCATGCAAAAGGTCTCTTGTAAGGTATCATTACAAAGCTTATAATCTACTGAGTGTGATCATCCTATTTGTATAAATGTACCACTTTTGTATCTGAAACTAGAAATATGAAATATAACTCTGAGGGCCTATTGTAATTATGCAAAGTGTGGGCCATTAATGGTGGTTTAGAATCTTGATGACTCCCATTGTCTGCAGATGGCTGTGTTTACCTGTGAGTCTTCCTGTATATGTGCGTGCTGGCAAGTGGGTAATGAAGCCTTGCAGTGACATGTGATCATGTCACCTGAACTGGAATCCATCTTTAACCTGGTGCTTTTCCAGTGTGTGGGGGGGTGGAAACCCAGAGGGACAAAGGGTTCCCACCTTATACAAAAGATATATAAACGGGTGGAAGAGAACAGAGGAAGAGAGGAGCCATCATGAAGAATCCCCTAGCTATCACCTGAGCTGGAACAAGAGCTGTACCAGGGGAAAGAATTGTGGCCAGGCCTGGAAGGTGTCCAGTCTGAGAAAAAACGTACTGAAGCATCTCTGAGGGTGAGATTATCTGTATTCAGTTTGATTAGACATAGATTTGCGCATTTTATTTTATTTTGCTTGGTGACTTACTTTGTTGTGTCTGTTACTACTTGGAACCACTTAAATCCTACTTTCTGTATTTAATAAAATCACTTTTTATCTATTAATTAACTCAGAGTATGTATTAATACCTGGGGGAGCAAACAACGGTGCATATCTCTCTATCAGTAATAAGCTTTATACAGGGTAAAACGGATTTATTTGGGTTTAGACCCCATTGGGAGTTGGGCATCTGAGTGCTAAAGACAAGCACACTTCTGTGGGCTATTTTCAGATAAACCTGCAGCTTGGGGCAAGTAATTCAGACCCTGGGTCTGTGTTGGAGCAGACGGGAGTGTCTGGCTCAGCAAGACAGGGTGCTGGAGCCCTGAGCTGGCAGGGAAAACAGGAATAGAAGTAGTCTTGGTATATTAGGTGGCAGCTCCCAAGGGGGTTTCTGTGATCCAACCCATCACACTGTGTGTGTGTGTGTATATATAATATAGTCTTTTGTCTGGTGAAAAAAATTTCCCTGGAACCTAACCCCCTCATTTACATTAATTCTTATGGGGAAATTGAATTTGCTTAACATCGTTTTGCTTAAAGTCACATTTTTCAGGAACATAACTACAACGTTAAGTGAGGAGTTACTGTACTGGCACGCGAAACCTTAAATTAGAGTGACACCTCTTCTGAAAGGTTGCCGACCCCTGCACTAGCGGCTACTTCTCCCCACATGCACACCAATTCAGCACCAGGTACAATATGGCCAATAATAGCCACAATGGACCTCCAGTGATTCTTCAACTACTTTATAAAAGATTTAGCTCTCTCTCCTCTTCCTCACACTATTTTGTGTCACAGGGTGTCCAGTAGAGAACTAGAAAGATGTCTGTGGACAATGGCTTTGGAATAACTGATTTATAACACCTTTCATCCTAAAGGGTCCTGAACACAGTACAAACTTATGTGTACAAATTTATATACAATTATATACAGTAATAATTTAAGCAACACCCTTGCATGTTGGAATCTGACAGTTGTTTAACAAATTATAATAACGCTACACATTTTAGGACAGGAAGTGAAGAATACTGTATCCAACTGACAAAAAAAACCCCAGGGAATTGAAATAGACTATAGTCAAGTTGGAATTTGGCCTGGACACTAAGGTTAACATCCTTACTCTTACAAAAGGTTGCATGGGATCTTTATTGGATAGCAATGTTAAAACTTTAGTTGTACATTCAAAAGATGTTATCTCCGTTAACACAGTTCCTTCTAAAATCATTCTGGGGCATTGCTTAAGACTGAGAGAGAAGAAAGACACTTATTGAAGCACCAACGTTACTTCCTACAATAAATATAAGCTGTAGAGGTCTCAAATCCATGTAACGGGTTGGCCCAAACCAATTTTGTTTATGAGATCTGATGGGACCACACCATGGGGGATCACTACGTCGACTAATATTACTTACTCACACATCTGTTGTCATCTATCAGCATTCGATCCCCCCTACATGAACAGTTCACTCGACCATCAGGAGTCAGAAGGCATAAGTCATGACAGCCTCCATTCATTTGTGCACAGGGAGACAGTTCACCTGAAAAATAAAGAACTTTTGTATTATCAAGTTAATAAAAACAGGCCATCTTCTATTAACTTTGTGGTATCTTCTTCAATGCTTAGTATTATTTGAAAGATCAGACTTCAATGCAGTTCAGTCTCCTGGTTAACGTGTTATGGGTCACTGATACATTGACAGATTTCTAATTAAAGTCTCTATATATACCAGTTAGGTAGGAATGCCATGATGCCAGAGAGATTACTGTATTAAATAATATGGAGCTACTTTTAGCACAGGTGTAAAATGATTAAATGAAACATCCAAAAATGACAAATATTTACAAAGAATCTACTAAATACTTTTCCATTTCTGAATGCTCAAGCCAGAAAAATATACACAATATTCCAAGAAAATTTTATTTCTTTGGAAAAGGAGTGTTCTCTATCTTTTAGTTAATATTCCACATAATGAAAAGAAGAGGTTATGAAATGCCATAACATATAATTTGATTAAAGCTAATCTAAATTTCTGAAAGCAACTATATATAATTAAGAACCCATTATATTTTGTTTTGTAACTTACAACTGTTAGTATCATTGGCAACAGCAATGATGCCCATTGGCTGATGTGGTATATCAGATCGAAGAACTTTTGTATCTCCTCCTGTATATTTATTGGAGCGAAGAATAGCTCGTCTCACCCAGTCTGACCAAAAGATATAGTCATGATATACAGCCAGGCTAAGAAAAGTGCCTGGTCCAGACTTGACAATTACCTGAAGTACAGAAATACATAAGAAAAGCATTTAGGTGGCAATCAGATGTAGATTTATTTACTTAACCAACCTGTATTTTAATAATAACTGAGGGAAAGGAGACCAAAGCAGAGAATATTAGTAGACATTAAGGAAAGTAAGGCTAATTGGGAGACCTCAGTTAGAAGTTAGAACGTATCATTTGAATAAAGAAATGAGAGAGGGAGTGTTGTCTGGTGCTTTGAGTAGGGGATTAACACAGGCTCTGCACTGACTCACTTTGTGTCTTTGGACAAATCACTTATCACTCTGTACCTCAGTTTACCAATATTATAAAACAGAAATAATACTACTTATCTACAGTAATTTACAAGGGTGTTGTGAGGTTTCACTTATCATTATTTATTACTACAAAAGTTTTAAAATGCAATTACAACTGCCCATATGGTACTTTGGGTGCCTATTGCATAAAATAAAAAAACACAGCATAAAAATATCCACCTCAGCTCACATCTCATCAACTGCCTTATCAAAAAGGGGACAAAACAGATTCTGCAGCATGCCAGGAAGGCTAGAAAATCTGAATTCTGGCTAATCAAGGTGGGGAGTAAGTTTCAAAATTAAAGACTGCTCCCTGAGATCATCCTGTCAGGAGCTCCTTCTCATTTATATTCAGGGAGATGCAGGCCAAGTTAATGAATGTTTGTAAAGTGTTTTGAGATTCCCAGATGAAAGAGGTCATATAAATGCAACAGAATATTACCAAATTACATTCCACTGTTCAAAACTTAGAGTTATTTAAAATATGGATTGTGGTTCACTATATAGTATATTGTCAAAGACTTTGATCAAATGGAAATATTATTCCCACAGATATAGTTTCTCTTTTTCATCTCATTCCAGATGACTTTCCTAAAAAATAATAGAAAGACATGGGCCACTGCTTATTTGACAACACAGGCACCAGTGGAGAATATAAACAATGCAGTAAATATTAATTAAGAGAATTTTATTTTCCTTATCGCTCAAAAACTACTAGATTAAATTCTAGACTGAAGAACTAACCGCAAATTACATTATTTTCTCTGAGTGAACAATTATGGATTTTTAACTTTTAATGCTGCTATAGGGATAAAATGGAAAAAGAAATATAATTTTATTTCAGAAAAAATGCATCTGTGCTCTGCTCTAGTCACTTATAGAATGATGTATATATGAAAGTATGTAACAAGAATAAAATCTTATAGAATTATTGTTTAATAACAAAACCCTCCCTGCCTCTGAGGTGTAATATTTTTAATTCCTCAGTCATTCATATAATACCTAGGAAAAGCTTTGGACATGAGATAGATCTTCCAGAGTTCCCTAAAAGTCAAAGGAATTAAGCGCTATCAGATGATGGGTGCAGGAATGAAATGCGTACTAGAGACAAAGATTCCTTCCTGAAAATGCACCCCCAGCAGTCCCTCCTATTTCAGTGGAAGAGTGGTTAGCTCAAGTGCCTCAATCGACCTAACCGTAGTGTCACAGCAGGAGAAGGGTAGCTCCAAACCAAACTTCTGGGAAATGCCTATTGATTTATTTTATTTAATCCCCAATTGCACAATCTTTACAAAACTGACAGCCATACTAACAACTTGGTTGAAGCCAACAGGCCATATTTACAGAAACTTACAATAATTTTCTATCAATTTGTATTCCTCATTGGTCATTTACAATAAAACAGACTATGAATACTTTTTAAAATATATGTTTTAATAACCATAAATCATGTTTTCTTGCTTTGTTCTTCCTTCCCCACATTTCCTATTTCCTTTTCTCTCCTTTACTTCTCTCACACCATTTCTTTTTTCTCTCTCTTCTACTCTCCATTAGATTTTTTCTTCTTCCTATTTCCCCTATCATGTTTCCTCTGTTAACTAACACCTCCTCTTGTCCCCTATGTTCTTCAATCCCTTTGCGTACATTCTGTCTTCTCCTGTCTCCCTCCAACCTCCATTCTTGAATCTTCCTTTTCTATCTTCCTCCTCAACACACTCATTGTTATCTCTCTTTGGCTCTCCATTTCCAAAGTACCCTCTCTTCCCCAATCATCCCTGTTTCCCCAACCCTTTTCTTGTTTCTCCACTCATCTCCAACAGTGTTTATCCTCAAGGCTCAAGCTAATCATGTGTCTGAAAATGGAGTGCCTCTCTCTTGACGGCCAACTGCAAGCATTTTGATGGATCAATTAGTTTGGACCTGGATATATCACCTTATATAAGGATGGAAGTTCATTTAGTCTGTTAATTTGCTTCTGTACTTCTGCTGAGCAAAGGTAAAGGCCAAGCAAACTTTGTAAATGAACTCAGCTGTAGACTGATAAAACTAGAAATTGAACTGAAACTAAAACTTTTATTGAGTGGTTGATACTCCAACATGAAATCCGCTAAATTACCATTTCCCCCTCTATAGTGGACACATGTTAATAGTTAACAAGTTCTGCACCTAAAAAGCATAATCAGCCTTTTTAACAGTTATAGGTTTTCTGTTATCAAAAATTCAACTGTTCCACATGGTCATTTAACAATACAGCACAACTTTAAAGCACCTTTTTTCACATGCTTATATTTAGGAAAAAGCTTTAGAGAGAACACTGAACTGGGAAAAGCGCACTTCAAAATAAAAAAAATATATCGAATTTAAGAGAAGATCCCTAAAGAAACTTGCCAAGATATAATTTCTTTAATCTAAGTAAATAATAGCACCAGTATGCTAAAAGTTTACAATAATCATCAGACTCTCTGAGGTGGGATAGGAGAAAGCACAGACTCCAGAAGGAAGAGAATGTATTTCAGATCTTGAATATTTTTTTGGAGTCCTGGACCGAACTTTTTCCAATTTTTCCACATCTTTGTTGAAGTGTGTACACCAGAATTAGACAAAATACTCCAGTAATGGTATCATTAATGCCATACCTAGAGGCAGGGCTGGTGCTACCATTAAGGCAAACTAGGCGGTTGCCTAGGGCACCAAGATTTGGGGGCGCCAAAAAGCGGTGTCCCCAATTTTTTTTTTACAGCGTTCCTGGGCTGGGCTGCCGGCACATGTGGTTCAGACTCCTTCTCTCAGCGCAGCGACCGCTCCATGCAATTATTGTCATTGCCGGCGGGGGCGGCGTGCTCAGGGAAGGGGCGTAGCAGAGGTGAGCTGGGGTGGGGAGCCCTGTGGCAGCTTCCCCCCCCTGGCCTGAGGCACCCCCCCCGAGGCAGCGCCCCACCACCCTGGCCCGGGGAGCCATGCAGCAGCTCCCCACCCCAGCTCACCTCTGCT